ATGTGTGCTACAACATCAAAGCGGCAAATCAACCAAGCAAGCGAACGTAATTTACAATCGAGATGAGTACTTAATGCGACAAGCTCCAAATAACTAGAAAACTTGACAAATACACATAAATCCAAAATGAGGATGAGGCACCTTAAACCCTGAGAGATGTCCTTGCGATGCAATGTTTGGATGGTGGTGCTCCACTCGTTTGAGTAACGATTAATTATTCGTGGATTTTGAAACATGATAACGCAGGAACGTTCTCAGCTTACAGCTGTAGTGGGATTTGTGGTACATGTAAACAAAAGCATCACAGTAAATTAAAACAACATGTCAAGAACATGTCCATGTCACATTTCACCCCAATATCAAAAGAAAAAAAAATGTTCTCTGGACATTTCTCATTACTGTAATATGTGCCTTTAAAAATCATTCTACAATGACATTTACATTTAGGCATTTAAACAGATTATTTTATCCAAAGCGACTTACTATTTTAAGGATTAATTCTTCCAAAAATTGTCTCCAAGATGTAAATGATTTTGTTTCATCATGAGGAACAGATTTTGAGAATTGTAGCATTAGATTACTTGCTCACCAGTGGATCCTCTGTAGTGAATGGGTGCCGTCAGAATGAGAGTCCAAACAGCTGATAAAACATCACAATAATCCACAAGTTATCCACAGAAGCAACGGTATAAAAGTTAAAACATCGTAATGATGGATTGGTTTCTTAGAAATAAACAGCTTTTCACATCACAAGACGTCAATTAATGGACTGGACTGGCGTGGTGTGGATTACTGTGATGTTTTTATCAGCTGTTTGGACTCTCATTCTGATGGCACCCATTCACTGCAGAGGATCCATTGGTGAGCAAGTGTTGTAATGCTAAATTTCTCAAAATCTGTTTTGATGAAGAAACAAACCAATTTTGGATGGCCTGATGGTGAATACATTTTCATTTTGTATGTGTGATTTTTTTAATTATATAAAATTGGTCATTTAATTAATTTTAATAACATATTTTAAGGGGCTTTTAGTTTTTCACATTATGGTAATTAGAATGATTGGAATTTTGCTTGCAATTATGGTAATGAGAACTGGGGAGGGAAAATGGAACATAGGCCTCATTTCCATTTTCATGTGAGATAACCGTGAATGTCTTCAAATCCTTGTTTTTTTCTTCTTCTGGTTTTGGTGTAACTCATGTTCTTGACAGTTTGACAGTGGATATCACATTTTTCCTACTTACTATAAAGGATTCTTATTGCTATAAAAATACTGTCATGCAATAGATTTGTTTGTATGTTTTCGCATTATAGTAATGAAAATTAGATTTTTTTCCCCCTTAAGATAATGCAAACTGAGTAAGAAAATGTGCCTAATTTACTTAAAAATAATGTCACAATGCAATAAATCAAAATGGTACTAAAAAAAGGCTTTATTGTTCCTTTGATTTTTGGGGTGAAATGTTACCTAGATATATTCTTAACAGTCATTAATTGCTGAAAAAATTATGGATATCATATTTTGTGTACTTTCACGGTATGAAGAAGCATTCACAGTACTAGAGACTCTGAAATCTGACCAGAGGATGCATAAGAATTTCTCGTCTTTGAGAGTTGCTACATTCGATTTGTTCCTAGGTGAGCCTCCTGGCCTGTGGTTAAATATCTGTCCACTTTCACCCAGAAGACTTCAGGATCAATCCAGGAAAAGAGGTAAAAGGAGAAACATAGTGGAGATAAGTTCTCATGAGGCAAGTAAAGATTGCTTAAAAGGGCCCTTGTGGACAATAATGGACAGGCAACATGCTACGTTTTTTGCTGTATGTGATATCAAATGATTGACTCAAATATGTAACATACCTAGTAACTGGATCAGTTAACTCTGTGGGACGTGACTGTAATAAATCCTGTCTTTGATCAAAGGAAATGTCAGATGCCTCTACAATCATGAAGACAAACGGTCCATCAGGGCTCTTCATTCCTGGCCACCTTTAGCATTCATTACCAGTGATTTAACAGAAATGCCTTTTCTAAACCCTCAGATTCGGCCGTGCTGAGCGGAAAAAGAGAAGTTCTGAGAACGATGTCTGTTCCCAGTCCTGGAAACACAGCAGATGGTCTTCTTCCCCTGCAGTCGTACAAACTATTCCAGAGCTTAGTTTTAACCTGGCGTAATAAAATAGGCGGCAGTTGTCCACCCTGAGGCCTCTTTACACGTGTTTTTTTAGCATTTGCACACTCTTTTAAACGTGAGCCGGGTGCGCACTTGACTGATGGAAGCCACAGAGTTCAGAAGAAGCGTCTAGGTCATGTTTCATGCTAATCTCTGGGTTTCCCCACACAGTTTTCGCCCCTCCTTTCCAGTAGACAAGTAGAGTGCTGATTGAGACTCTCTGTAAGTAACTCTCCTCCATCAAGCCAAATAAACGTCTTTGCCTTCCACTTTCATCCCCATCCAGAGTGATTATTTACCTCATTAGCGGTTGATGGTTGTAAAGCAAAAGCCTGCTAATAGAAAACCCTCTCTAGTAGAAATTTCACGTTCAGCCCGGGCTGAAGACACAGGACTTCATTGGTTCCTGCTCTCGCTGTGGTGCCCTTAGGCCATTCTGTGCTGGCCGAAGAGAAAATCAGATTAACGTTTGTGATAATGGCAGCAAAGATAATGTTGATGGTAGTCATGGATGGTAGCGTAGTGGTCAGCATTGTGTATTTGTGTCTAAACCGTTCTACTGACTTGAAGGCCAATGTTAACGTGGATATTGACTTGCTGATCAAGCGGTATCCTTTGCTTCTATATCTAACTGTGCCTGATAGCTTTATGAGGCACATAGGAAGAAGTCAGGAACAAACGGACTACCCAAGTTGATTATAGACTTTTTGTAGGCTTTTGTTTGTGGCTGTAACAGAGCTAAGCATCTTGTTTGGACTGCAAAATTAGCTGGGCACTCAGTAGTATATGGCTGCGTCTGAAAGCTTAGGCAGTGACTTGTTTCTCACTGGCCTAACAGACAATGACTTTGCAGGCAGCATTTGCGCATGAAGGTACCTCCCGAAACTTCGAAATTTCGGACAGACTTCTGAGGCAGCATAACAGTTTATTGATGTACAACAAAATAGAGACAGCTTTGGTGATAACTAAGTGACTGTATAATTACTACAACACTAATTTCTCACTAGAAAGAAAATCAAAAGTTTAAAAAGTCATTCAAAAATAGCAATTTACACACTAACTGACCACCACCCACAACTTTCATACGCTATATTACAACTTTCATACACTCCCCTGATCTCAAGACAGGAGGGGTTATATTGGTGCCGTGACCCGGATGGGAGTGAGTTTTAGGGGGGTGAGTGTCTGGTAAAAGCTGTGGGGGTAAAACCTCACTCCCCTGATCTCAAGAGGTGCACTAGCGACAGACACTAGAAGCTGCATTCCAGAAACGCAGGTTCGAATCCCGCGTGGAGCGAGTGAGAGGAGTACAACAGGAGGAGTTATATTGGTGCCGTGACCCGGGTGGGAGTGAGGTTTAGGGGGATAGTGTAACGGAGGCCTGTGCAGGTAAACCTCACTCCCCTGATCTCAAGAGGAGCACTAGCGACTGGTGCTAGAGGCTGCGGTTTTTAGCGTCCTTGTTAGTGCGCCCACCTCCCATGCTTGAAATGCCAGTTCGAATCCCGCTCGGAGCGAGTGAGGGATTATAACCTCTCCCTCACCCTCTGCAAGGTCAGGTTTCTTCTTTTTATCGCAAAGAGGCATTTGAAGGTGCACAGTGTAAACCAAAAATGTAGATAAAACTGTAAACACCTAACACTTTTTTTTTTTAACTATTGAAGCCATTCAATTTGTTGGATTGGTTTTACATACTGTGGTTGTATTAGTGGTTGGGACACGACTATGAAATATAATCCGAGCTTGGCCTTTTACTTTTTGTGTGAATTAATGTGGGTGATTTGTGTCTATAATGGATGAATGACGGTGGATATGTGCCACAATAGCATTTTTCTCAATGAATATCCTGTTTTGCTTTGAAATATGTCACATTATGCAAGTGAAAAGACTTGCCAACGTCATTTCATGTTGACTCATGTTGACGAAACTGATTGGTTGATTAAAAATGAATCCCCAGTCAGTAAAATGTTCATTTTTATATTACACGCACTGTAGCATCTAGCAAAATGTCCCACCCTTTTTTATTGTTTAAACCTATTAAGCTAAAAGCATTTTTGGTTTCCTTCAGAACAGCAAAGCCTAGGCAGAAAGAAAGCCCTTGTTACTATTTACTTATTTTTACTTTAATATTTCTGTTTTCTGTATTTAATTTTCCTTCAAAGAGTAACAGAGACAGTCATATCTAAACTAAACATGACATATTGCTTGGAATTTACAAAAATCTTCCAAAAATTTTATTTTTCATCTAAACCTGTACATCATAAAAAAACATGGTAAGGAATGATGGAGAATGAGTTTTCATATGGTGTGCAGGTCAACAAACTGAACATTTAAATGTCGTCGCATTTGGACATCTTTATGTAGTTTTATGGCAGTTCATGTAAATAGCTTATATGGTTTCTTTACGTATTTTAAGGTGAAATGTGTCATTTCTATGCCACTTTTGTCATCAAACAGAACTACAAAAATAATGGTTTTGAAAAGTGTTTTAACATCGAGAAAATTAGACCGTTTACCCAAAAATGATCATTCTGTCCTCATTTACCCCATGTCATTCCAAACCTGTACAACTTTATTTTCCTGTGGAAAGCAAAAAAAAATAAAGAATTACAAATATGTCCCTAAAATGAAAGTCAATGACAAAACGCTAAAACATTCTTCAAAATATCTTTTTTTTTTCCACAGAAGAGTGTCTTGATGACAGAATTGTCAATTTTCAATTGTCAATGTGAACTATCCGTTATAAATGTCTCTATTTTCATAGTTTTTGTCTATTTTGTCGTGAAATTTAAAGTGTTTCTCTCTTTCTCTTGTTCTTCAATCTCAGGGTCTTCCCCAAACACGACAAAGACGAGTACGGGCCTGCAGTGTAAGCATTTTAAGCACTTTTCACTCCATTTCACTAACAAAACTCCATTGGTTGTGCTCATCTTTTTAATGGAGATTACATTTACACCACATCTAACACACACTGTCTGTCACTTTCTTAGTTACTATCCCAAGATCCACGGTTTCATTGGCACACCAGAAAACATCTCTCTGCTGGAAGAATCTGAGGGATCGGTGCACGGCAAACCACCCCTGCGCAGAATCAAGGGCCGAATCCACCGCAGCAAGAGCCTGGACGGCATCGACCTGCTGGACTCCAACGTGAGTTAAAGACTGCATAATGCTTCCGTGTGTGGTGTGTGGGGGTTGGGAGTGTGTGTCAGTGTGTATTCAAATGAGATTGCGCCCCTAGATGTTGTGTGTCCGCACTCAGTGTATACATGTATTTGAAAAGCAATTCCATCACTGTGTGTGTCGCATGACTGTTTGTTTATGAAAATGCACATGTACCAGTATGTCTGCATGGCTGCTCTAGGGAGTTTCTGCAAGAGTGAACTTGACATGCACAATTGTGTAAGTCCACTTATTCACAATTATTGCATACATTATTAACAAACACACAGCTGGAGTCAATTCATAAGTGTTCGTAAATGTATATCAAGGGTCAATCGATATAGGAGAACATATTTTAAAGGGACAGTTCACTTAAAAATGAAAATTGTCATCATTTTCTTACCTTCAAGGTCATAATTTGAGCTTAGAATTCTTTTCTAGATTTTCTTCCAATGAATGCTAAAAAAGATTTTTAGCAGAGTGTTCAAGCTGCTCTTTTCCATACAGTGAAAGTAGATGGGGACTGGCGATGTTGAGATCCAAAAATGACAACAACAAAAAAACTATATGAAAGTAATCCGTACAATTCTTGTATTATATTACATGTCTTCTGAAACCTTCTGATAGCATTGTGTGCATTAAAAAAAAATCTGAAATTTAAGTAGTTATTCATAGAAAGTTTAGAATGTCATCTGCCCATACGAATGGGAACGTTGTCAGAACATTTTCTGCAAATAATGGCTTATTCCTCACACAAAGCTAGCATATGACTTCAGAGGACTTGGAATATCATGCTAAAGTTGTATGTATTATTTTTATGGTTGTTTTGTGACATTTTTGGACCTCAGCAAGCCCAGCCTCCATCCACTTCCACTGTAAAAAATCTTTGTCATGTGGTGCAACAAAGAGGAATGTGTGAGAATTTTTTCAGCAAATAATGGCTTAAGTTTAGGTTTATTTTTCACACAAAGCTATCATATGGTTTCAGAGGTTTTGGAGTATTGTGCAAAAGTTGCATGTACTGCTTTTTTGGTAGTTTTTTGACTGTTTTGATGCTCAGCAGCCCTAGTCTCTATCCACTTCCATTGTATGGAAAACATTCTGCTAAACACCTAAATTTGTGTTCCATGAAATCCATACGAGTCCTGTATTATATTGCATGCCTTCTGAAACAATCTGATAGCATTGTGTGCATAAAAAAGCAGAAATTTAAGTAGTTATTCACAGAAAATCTTGGTAACACTTTATTTTGATGGTCCCTTTTGAACATTCTGTTGACAATAAGTAATGTTGCACCTACATGTCTACTAACTCTCATCAGAGTATTAGTAGACTGTTTGCTTAATATCTGCTAACTCTTTATTGTCATGGTCTCCCAACAGACATTCTACTGACTATAAGTAACTTTGCAAGTACATGTCAACTTATTCTAACCCTAACCCTACCAGTCTACTAATACTCTAATGAGAGTTAGTAGACATGTAAGTGCAATGTTACTTATAGTCAACATAATGTGTTAAAGGGACCATCAAAATAAAGTGAAACCAAAATCTTTGTCATTTTTGGAGCTCAACAGCCCCAGTCCCCATCCACTTCCATTGTATGGAAAACATTATGCTAAACACCTACATCTGTGTTCCATGAAAGAAAATAATAATTAGTACTACACAAGGGTGATTAAATGGTGATAGAAATTCAATTTTTGGGGTGAACTATTCCTTGCATGCTGTGTATTTATCGCAACTCTCGTCCTACAAATCTCTAATTTAAAATTATTTTTAAAATTACATTTCCCACCATGAATGATACATGAGTCTGTCATGTTCACCCTGCGCAGACTGTCTGAATGCCTCATAGATGCTTCATGGGCTCATACTTAATGCAACACCTTACTGAATCTGATTTCTGCACTGGGATACCCCGGAGTGGCTTTCCGTTTGCATATAAAACACCTGGGATTTGGAGTGGCTTTCCGTTTGCATATAAAACACCTGGGATTTGAAGTACGCCAGGATGTCTCACAAATTGCTTCACCTCCTCTGAGGAAATGCACTCTAACATGATTATTATTCTAATGAGCTTTGAGTGGGACTTCCATTAGTAAATTCCACTTGTTTGAGTCTCTCGTACTTTGCAATTATGTCTTTCTGGTTGAGCAGGGTTTTTCTGAAGGGAAAATCTCAGTTGTCGTATGTTTTTTCTTTTTAGTTCATTATAAAAATACTTTTGGATTCCGTTTGAATAGGTTTGTTTGTACTTGAAACATACTTGTAGTTCTAGACGTGCGAGAGTTTTTAACAAAGTTAATGATGAATATCGTCTTAGCCTTTCAGAGTTACATAATGTTACCATGCAATGCTGCAATTAGTTAACTCAGATGTATTCACTGATGTCTTCATGTTATTTTAAAATTAGGTCACATTGCTTCTATGCTACATTTGTTGGATGAATTGAGAGTGGAGCATCATTAATCATTTATAACTAACTTAAATTAAAATAATACACATTTTATGCATGCATAGTGTTTTGCCTTGTTGACTAACAATTGATTGAGATGATTCCTAAAAGTGTATGCATAAATGTCTTGCTTTAGTCACTTTAGTCTAGTGCTACTTTATTAAAATTCATTTTCATTCATTGAAATAATTGGCAATTAAGGGGATAGTTCACCCAAAAATTAAAATTTGATGTTTATCCGCTTACCCACAGGGCATCCAAGATGTAGGTGACTTTGTTTCTTCAGTAGAACACAAACGAAGATTTTTAACTCAAACCGTTGCAGTCTGTCAGTCATATAATGGAAGTGAATGGGAATAACGGCTTTGAGAGTCAAAAAAACATACACAAACAAAACCAAATTAAACCCTGCGGCTCGTGACGATACATTGATGTGTAAAGACACGAAACGATCGGTCTGTGCAAGAAACTGAACAGTATTTATATCGTTTTTTACCTCTGATTCACCGCAATGTCTGAACTGACCTGAGTGCGTTCACAACAGCCGGCGCGTGACGCGTCTTCATCTTCTTCTTGCTTTACGGCGGATCGCAGACTTATAAGTGCATTACCGCCACCTATCTCTCAAATGCCATGTTTCCCATTCACTTCCATTATATGACTGACAGACTGCAACGGTTTGAGTTAAAAATCTTCGTTTGTGTTCTACTGAAGAAACAAAGTCACCTACATCTTGGATGCCCTGGGGGTAAGCAGATAAACATCAAAGTTTCATTTTTGGGTGAACTATCCCTTTAAGTGAAATAAATATGTTTTTAGGTGAAGTACTAACATTTGTAAAACTATAATTTAAAGCTAAAAAGAAAAAAATAAACGAATAAAAAAAATGACCAAAGCACATAACAAAATGACTAAAACTTTAACTAAAATGAAAATTTAAAACTATAAAAAATAAAAGCTAATTTAAAATATTAATAAATATAATATGATATAAATATAATATAAATATGATAGTAAATAAATAATACTAAAATTACACTGATCCATGTGACCTCCATTGTCTGCGAATCTATTGGTGGTTGTGGAATTGTCTAACTGATCATTTGCATGAAGTTAAATACCACTGAACAGTCTCTCACGTAACCATAAATTCTCATTAAAATTTAATGACTCGAGTTGTTTTGTCACTGCATATCACTTAATTCAAACAAATACGGGCCTATATTGTCCCTAAAAATATGCTGTCTAGGTAGGCAGCTTCATTAGGTTTTGAAACACAGCCTGGATGTTGATATCACAGCGACACAGAAGCCTCCGGAGCGATTGACAGGCTAAAGGCGGCCAGGTTAGTTCAGTGCCAAGTAACTGAGCAAATGTGCTTTTCAACAAAGCTTCCTCCACAAAGGCTGTCGGCTTTAGTGAAGTGAGTTAGAACCGGTTCATTAAACCCCTTTAAAACGCTGTTGCTCTGCCTGCGCTTAAAATATCTGGCCTCTCCAGAACATCTCAGTGAAATAAGGGGGTATCACCGTCCAGGTTCCTGCTCTTTAATGCTGTACATATTTCTCTCTTAACAGAACACACAGACACACACACACACACACACACATGTACACAGGCCGGAGGAAAGTTGCTGACTGGGCTCGAATGCCAACCGCAGCTGATGAGAGTATGTTCCGGCACACAGTGAGTGATGATGCCTCAGCAACGCTTGAGTGAAGACCTCTCTACTGCTGCCACTCGCTCTACTGAAAGATATAACAGAGAGAAACACACAGAGCCACCCACTGCAGAGACAGCAGTGTTAGCCACTGATGCTAATAAATAAAACTTGCTGCCAGAATGCTAAGTGTCGAGTTTGGTTGCTAGGCTTTTGCTATGTTGTTGCTAAGGTGTCCTTGGTAGTTGCTAGAGCTTTGCTTGGTGGTTTCTAAGATTTGATTCATTAATGGTTGTTTAGTGGCCCAAAAACAGTCCACAATAATGCCAAACAAAATCTTTACACCTGATTGATTTTAAAAGCACATCAGATTTGAGTAATTATTCAGGTTGATTACATGGTGTAAGGTGAGTTATTCACAATGACTCTCAATAATAATACTATTATTGAGAGTTATGGTTACAATAATAATGATGGTTGCCTTAGCAAGCACCAATAATGAGACTATTAGCGTGCAATGAAAGCATAAAGAGGATAGAATGTGTGGATGGAATAGCTCAGATAATTTAGTCTTGGAAAAATATTCAATGAGAAATGGTTGAGGTTTTAAAATCACTTAATTTTGATTGCAGATTTTAGCATTCCCTGTTGAAAAAAAGAAAGTATCTTAAACCGGCCTAGAATGGTTTGGTGGTCTTAGCCGGTTTTAGCTGGTCTTGCAAGGAGACGAGTTGAATCCCCAAGTGGATGCTGCACACTGGTGGTAGTTGAGGAGAGACCCCCCATATGATTGTAAAGCGCTTTGGGTGTACAGCAATACACAATAAAGCGCTATATAAATGCCTCATTCATTCATTAATTCATTTATTCATTCATTTATGCCAGGTTGGAAAACCAGCTAAAACCAGTTAAGACCAGAAAACCAGCTTAGACTGGATTAGGCTGTTTTTTTCAGCTGCTTTGCCAAATCTACTGAGCCCCTAAAGGAAAATGGTGATGAAAGAATGAAAAAGGAGAAAAAATTATATTTCAATACTTTTGTGTTGTCTTGTAAAGCTTTTGCGTTCCCCCAAGAAACTTTGCATTCCCTCGCAACATCTTTGCATTCCCCTGAGTAATTTTGCCTTTGCTCACAACACTTTTGCGTTCCCCTGAGAAATTTTGCGTTCGCTCACAACACTTTTGCTTTCCTGAGAAACGTTGTGTTAATTCGCAAAACTTTTGTGTTCCTTTGAGAAATTTTGCGTTTGCTCACAAAAAAAACTTCACAATCCCCCAAGAAACTTTGCATTCACATGAAACAAAACTTTTGTCTTCCTCTGAGAAATGTTGACTCCAAAGAGTCTTTAGTTTGATCATATTTATAAAAGAAAGATATAGCTTTATGATTCTCTCTGAACAAGACAAGAACAGACAAGTTCCTGGAGGCGTGTCGTGGGCGGAGCTAAAGAGTCACAAGCATTTGCGCGTCAATTGCCAACAAAACACAGAAATTTGATGCAGTTTTACTTACCGCCTGCGGTTCCGAATCATAACCGGGATCTTTTATCGCTGGGACAGCTCCATCTTTCAGTATCAAACGATGTGCAAATCCAACTGGGCCTTGTTTATAAAACAAACACATTGCGAAACTCCGTTGCTGCCCCAGAAAAACAAACTGCATCCACTGTTCACGTAACGCTGGGTTCTTTGGGAAGCTGAATAAGGTTACCTTATAACCAAAAACACACTTTTTTGGAGATATTCTTCTTGAGCATGTCCTGTGCAGCACTGCCGACACTCTCGCTCTTGTTGACGTGTGTGCGCACTGTTCTTGGAGAAGTGCCCATACAATGAATTCCACCCTTCATGGCGTCATGAAGAGCCATGCTCCAAAAATACTTTTTCCGAAACTTCCGAAGGAGTGTATTTGGTCAAGAAATTCTCCATCATATGTCCAAATCGTTTTTTTAAACTTTGTCCATGTTTAGTATGAGAATTCAACTCTTTAACAGTGTAAATAACTTAGAATGCATGAAATGGCATTAGAACGTAACGCTGGGTTCTTTGGGAAGCTGAATAAGGTTACCTTATAACCAAAAACACACTTTTTTGGAGATATTCTTCTTGAGCATGTCCTGTGCAGCACTGCCGACACTCTCGCTCTTGTTGACGTGTGTGCGCACTGTTCTTGGAGAAGTGCCCATACAATGAATTCCACCCTTCATGGCGTCATGAAGAGCCATGCTCCAAAAATACTTTTTCCGAAACTTCCGAAGGAGTGTATTTGGTCAAGAAATTCTCCATCATATGTCCAAATCGTTTTTTTAAACTTTGTCCATGTTTAGTATGAGAATTCAACTCTTTAACAGTGTAAATAACTTAGAATGCATGAAATGGCATTAGACCCCATCTTTAAAGTTTCTTGGGGGAACGCAATACTTTTGTAAGAGAACGTGAAAAGTTTTGTAAACAAAATATGTAGTTTTTCCACCCATCTTGTATTTTTTTTCTATCACCTATACAAATCTGAGCACAGATTGAGACTGAGAACAACTGAAATATTATCATGGAAAAAAAAAAAAAAAAATTTTTTAATTATTTTAATTATTACTATTTCTCAAATTCAAACAGGATGAGAAGAAAATGTAAGGCAGGACTTGTCAGTCTGTAATTGACTGGATGGTGAAAAGAAAATAAATAATATTGTGCAGAATAAGCTGCATTTGAAGCATTCATAACACTGATTTTAGGGATGTAACGATTACCGGTTTGATGATAAATCATGATAAAATTGCCCACGGTTAGTATTACCGTTTCATCTTTTAATTATCATGAAAACCGTAT